CATCCCTGGAAACATTCAAGGTCAGGTTGGATGGGGCTCTGAGCAACCTGATCTAGTTGAAGATGTCCCTGCCCATGGCAGGGGGGTTGGACGAGATGACCTTTAGAGGTCCCTTCCAACCCAAACTATTCTATGATTCTATGATTCTTGGTCAAAGTTGATCTGTGACACATAAATTTGTTCTTCTGCGGTGAAAAATGGGCATCTTTAAGTCAGTTAAGGACCGGTGGTAAACTCCAAACCAGTCAAAGTTGATCTGTGACACATAAATTTGTTCTTCTGCGGTGAAAAATGGGCATCTTTAAGTCAGTTAAGGACCGGTGGTAAACTCCAAACCAAAGCAGTGTGTTGTTATATATTTCAAGTATCATGGATATAAAAATTGCTGTAAGAAAGGTTAGGGGAAGTTGCTTATGATATAACAATGTAAGAGTAAGTTATAATAATTTTAATGACTATTCTTTATTCTGACATCAGACTCTTCAGTTTTCTCCTATTGAAGCTGTTCCATATTGTATGAACATTAGTTCATCTTAATTAGATTAAGGAGTAGAATCATGTGTTGCCCCCATCTCATCTGCGTGACTTCATCTGGGAAAGAGTCAACTACTTCTCTCAGTTCCAACCAAAAAATCCTTTCTGAAATTAATAGATGTTTAAAATTCCTTTCCAACCATACTTGCACATCTCCTATATGTTCCTTGGACTACATTGTTTCAGTGATTGGTTCAAAGAGTGAGATTCACCATGGATATTTATTTCCTCGTTCTGCAACCTATCACATAATTTGGCCTTTAAAGTGCATTACCAACTTTCCCAACATTTGCTGTAGCAGTAATTCATCACCATAGTATCTAAGAGCTTTTATAACTCTTCGGTAGATCATTTGATATTACCTTCTCAGAAGAGCTTAAATAGGAGGTTAGAACAACTCTCACTTAAATTACTTTTCTATCAGATTACTTTACCTACAAATTATCCCCTTTACAGAGTAAGCTGAAAGACTCCTTCCAGAATACTTTAGATAAAACAGCAAAATATTTCAGGCTTTTGCAGATGTAACAGAAATAGCTGTTATACCAAAGCAGAAGCTTGCCATCACAGCTTGGAATTACTTTTGGTTTTCTTTAGTGCAAAGACAATTCAGAGCAAAAGTAAAAGCCAAAGTAATATGAATGAAGAGCACATGAAAGGAAATGGCTGGGTTGCTCTAACAGGAGTGCTGGGAAATACAGCATGTTAATAGAGAATGACAAAGTTAGGTTGTCTAAAGATTCATTGATGAGGAAACTTTTGAATCTTTCTGATTTAAACTCTCAAATTTTGCTTTACAGGAAATATTAGCAAAAATTGTACGACTAATGGATGGTCAGATATTTTTCCTGACATCTTAAGTACTTGTGGATATAATGACTATGAGGATGATTATAAGGTAGGAAAAATACTTTTTCTATTTAGATGCCAGTGTTCAATACAGCTATCAGACATATTCTGCTTCTAAATAATTCCCATTTTACTCTATCAGAATTAATGGAAATATGTAGTAATTTTTGATAGCATTGATTGCCATATGCTTGGACTGCAAATGTCATAATAAGATAAAATCAGAAATGTAGAATTCAGTAACTGTTTGAAACTCAAGTCTATAAACGGTAATTGCAGTAATACCTCTGTTTTTCTAATATTGCAGTGTTACTGGGCTTATGCGCAGTATGTTTTTCATGGTGTTATTTCTAGGAGTTTCTATTATAACAAATCCTAATACTGTAATAATCTGTTAATAATACATGCACCACTTAATTGCTGGTATGTGTTTAAGTTATAAGTAAAATAGAATGAATTTAGGTCATTGGAATTATTGTAAATTTATATTGGACTTCAAATTGTGTTAGCAATTAGAAGTGGTTCAAAAAGCTATCAAGAGATCTTAAATACAGTATAAATGGAAAAAAAAAATTAGTTCACTTTGCAGATCCTATTTCTTGTTCTTTTGTTGAGAAAAGTACTTTTTCCATCACATTTTACCTATTTTCTATCTGTTTTTCTGCTGAAGCTAACAGCAAGGTTTTGTTTACAAGGATGAGCTCACAGTGTCAGTAAAATTCTTGTTATAATGAACAGATGAAGTCCTCTCATGAATAAAGATACTTGGCTGGTTGGGTTTTTCTGGATTTTAGTATGTGTGGAATAGCTCTAGCAGACCTGTTCTGTCTGGTTTGCAGAGATGTGCTGGCATTCTAGCTAAGACATGCAGTTCTTGCCATCTCTTTCTATATTTAAAAGCCCAACCATTGCTGTAGTTGAAAATAGGTAATAAAGAAAATGGATAGAATATGTTGTTTTCCCAACTTTTCTGAAGACACATTCTAAAACATTGGTATCATCTGACAGCTTGGGGACGCACACACATTACTGCTAAAACAGCCATTTTAAAACACTGTCGTTCAACCCAGACGTTGTCATGTGGAGTGAAAATGGGTCAAGACTTAAAAATTCAAATAAGCAAAAGATAACATTTCAAGTAGTGAGAAGTACTTAATTAGCAGACACTTAAAAATTCAAATAAGCAAAAGATCAAGTAGTGAGAAGTACTTAATTAGCAGATGAACTAGTACTATAGAAAACCAGTTCTTGTTTGACATATTCATTAGTAATTTGAAGGAGAAGAATGAAATGCAAATTGCCTATACTTGCAGGAATGAACGTAGAGAAACTGGAAATAGGAAGTAGTAGCAACATTTACAAAGCCTGGAAAAGAGCAAATAATAAACCAGTGAGGATAAAAATCAGAAAAGAGATGTGGAAAGCAGGTACTGAAAAAATGGTTAACAAAAGTACAATAGATAGATAGAATATCATAGTTATCTAACATAGATAGTATACAGAATAAATGCATAGCATGTTGCAGGGAGGGAAAGGGGAAATGCAAGCACTGATTACATTTCAAGCAACATGAGCTGAGGTCCCTGTCCTTTTTTCTCAAGTACCACTGTCATTGCTCAGGCCATATTCTTTGCCTGAAGATCATAAACTGGTTATTTCAGTGGGATGAGGCAATAATTCTTTTCTAACCTTAAAGTTGACAGGTCAAAAAGGTGATACAGTAGTGGTGGCTTGTCAGAAGATAAGCTGTTCCTGTGCAAATGTTATATATTTTGTAGTTAAAGAAAGGACAAAAACTATCAGAATAAAATCTGAAAAGGGAAACAGGAAAGCATATGTTTAAATCTATCTCTTCATGGGAGACAATACAAAAAATGCAAGTATCATGCAGTTGTGAGATTTCAGGAGGCATTTAAGGTTCTGCATCAGCCAAGTGTTACACAGAAAGATGTTTTCCTTAGCGCTCAGTGGTAGCACCTCAAAACAAAAAATCTTTACTCAGCATAAATCAGTATAGTTCATTTTTATTTGACCTAGAATTTCAACAAAAAGAACTAAAAATTAAATCCTAAGTATTTGCATACGAAATATTTTGGACATAAAAATATCATGCAACAATATGCTTTGCAGGTGATGTGTGAGGTTGCCCTCAAAGTTACAGTAGCTAAGGAGATCATATTTTAGGGAAGGTGGCAAAATACTTTTCTTACGGTAAGTCTTAAATTTTCTTCAGTATGCTTTCTTTGAAGACAATGTTAAAGGAGTAGGTAGAAACTGTCTTTGGTGTCAGTTTGGTGCCTGCATCTTCACTGCTGAATGAATTTCCATTATAGATCCAATTAAATATTTATTCCTGTTTTTTGCTGTCTTTTAGGATATGGACTTGTATCTTTACTTCAAAAGGGACTTACTTCTATACATATTTTATATTTATTTCTATATATATATGCATACACAAAGACATATATATCTCTCCAGACATGCATCTAATTTGGGCAGGTTTGAACATTCTAGAGAAGGTTTAAATGATACAGATTGGTGAGCAAATATTGAACAGGCAATTTATTAATAGGTACCAAATTCTTATGCTGAAAATGTGCTGAAATGAGAAAGCTTATTTAAAAATACTGTAAGCATGTCATCTATTATTTCTCTGCCAAGTTCACTGATACTGTTCAGGTTATGAAAGAGCTTGTCTGCTTCCACAATTTGCTTTTATTTTACTCAGAGTTAAAACGTTCAATTTTTATTCTATGTCAAATGGTATATTAGCAGGTTCTATAAAAAGAAATGATTTGCTTAACATTTTGAAATTAACTATAAGTTTCTGGTACAGCACCCTTAAATAGAATGTTTTATTTAATGTTAGATCTTCTATTAGTATTCTTTAGTGCTCCTGTCTGTATTTATAGGTGACCAATTTGACAAGTATGACAGTGTCTGAACAAACTATCTGTATGTTGTTATCACATCAAATTGTAGATCTAAACCTTTATTATATACTTCCAGTCTCTTTCCTATAAGTAAACTGGTTACTGCTAACCTTCAAGATCAAGTTTTAGATTCACCAGAGGTGTCTTTTTTTTCCTTTTATATTTCTGTTGAGGTCATGGCAGCACAATGGGAAAATGAATAGCTTGATTTGACCATGCTAGAAACTCAGGTCAAGGTGTGCTAACCCAATCCAAGCCTCACCACAATCTTTCCTTTTACATGGACATATTTTGCTATCTTCTATCTAGACTGAACAAGCTAGAGATGTGTCCTAGCTGTCCTCAGAGGGTATTAAACTCTCTGTCAACGTTATTAATATACGGCAAGATGCCTGGTGAATGTAAAGGACTGAAATGTGTCCACTTTACTTAAAGTAATGACTGGGTCAGTGTTGTCTAATCTTAGCGTGAATTGGCCTGAGGTTTATTAGGTCACACAAAAAACAATACATACAAGTTACAGGCTATGTGATTTGAATGCAAAGACAAATTCATGGAGAGAGAGATCCTCAGGGCTGTTAAATGTGGTGATACTGTTGCAGCTTGTGCATGAGTAGAACCATCATCTGTGGAAGAAGTATTCCCCTATTTGGCCAGTTTCCTGAAGCATTCACTCTTAGACTGCTGTCAGAGATAGCATCCTGGGTGTGCTACCCGCTACCCACTACGCAATACAGATACACTACCCAAGACAAGTGGAGTCAAGGCACTGAGGTCAGGACAAACACAAACAAACACTGTCTTGAATGTCTGTAGCTACCTTTAGAAAACAGATGCATTAGTACTGTCTGTGAAGTGGATCATTGCACTGGACTAATGGATTGTTTGTATTGAGTCTAAATTGAATCCTTCCCTCTCAACAAAATGTAATGCAGGGCAGCCATCTACCAGTGCTTTTTCTGCGTGCCTGTAAGTCATGCTATATTTATTTACATTGCATGCTACATTTTTCATTACTTAATGATGCTACTATTATTAAGAGATACTTAAGGCATTACTGGTCTCATCTTTTTTGGGTAATGTTTAGGCTTAAGGTGAATTGAAGGGGAAATGTGTCGGAAAAGGGATATCATTAATTACTTGCATAAAGATTATTAAATGCCATGAGGAATACCAATTTTATTACATATATTTTTAGTAAATTCTATTTTGCTCTGCACCATTTAATAAAGTGTAGAAGTGCCTGATAAGAAAAAAGTAAATTTTCCACAACATGTAATCCATCTTTTTATCTCAGTTTATATTTATTCTCTTGTAAGTAAGTACTACAAGATTTTAGAAATGGCTACTGTGCTGTTGAAGTTCATTTTGCAAAAGGAAAGAACTAGGGTTTTTTATTCCACTTCTATTGGCATTTGCTCATTTCAGTGTTTCTAAAGCACTGAACTCATTTGCTAGGCCCAGTTCTGATTTTACAGTGTTTGTACAGTTTAAGGCTGTCTGATATGTTCTTCTAGTATGAATATTTGGATATTATGGAATGTACTCTGACACGTATCATGAAAATGTAAGACCACAAATTTTAATATACTTGTAAGTAATCATATCTGTGAATACTAGACTCTCTTACATACAGTATATGTAGCCCACAGAATAAACAAAATGAAGAGTCACCTGGGATGATAATGATCATAAATACTTTAGAAGTGATCAATTATATTTTTGGTTAAATGAATAAAGAGGTGTGCATTTTTCTTTTACATTAAGGATGACATCTGGTCAATAGTAAAACTCTTTTGGACAAAGAATCAAGACCTAAACCTTCAGAGCGTTTTGTCCTTCAGCACTGAATTACCTTCTCACCCCTAGAGGTCCTTCCAAACCAAGGCTGAGGTTGAAAGATCCACTGGGTAACTGTCGACTTTGCCCAGGAAGCTTCTGCTCTATGTCTATTCTGTAAATAAACAGAAGACTTCCGTCTCCTGAACTTAGTAGAAATAACATGAAACTAACGTTAAAGGAAACATTAGCAGAAAAAGGTGTCTGTTCTAAGAAAACAAAACACAAGTGTACATAAGAATAGATTTTACAAAAAAGTATTGAAGATAACACTAAT